ATAACACTGGTCAACACTGATTTTGCCACACGAACTTTGATAGCTAATTTTGTTTTATCAATCTACCCTCATCATTAAATCACAGTTTTCATTTGTCTGTTAGCCTCATATTTGTTGTGATACGGTAATACTCATAACTAGTACTACGGCGGTAAATTAACAGAAACGCTCACAAGTAAATCGTCATAAAAGTATTTGTAGTTGAATTTGAATATTTTTTGTGATTTATTAATCCTGTGAACATGTCGAGGAAGTGTAAAAATAACCCTAACTCTTTTTGTTATATCTGCGGAGAACTTACATTCAAAAAACAACGACGAAATTTTACGAATCTTGTGCTGGAGTGTTATCACCAATGTTTTGGTTTTTCTGTCGCCCATCAAGACAAATTCTGGGCCCCTCATGTCTGTTGCATAACGTGTGTGAAAAATTTAACCGACTGGAAGAAAGGTGCACGAGCTATGCCTTTTGCTGTACCCATGATATGGACTGAACAGCGAGATCACGTTTCGGATTGCTATTTTTGTCTCACTGACTTAAAAGGTATAAATTACAAGAAAAAAAAAACAGTTATCTACCCTAACGTATCTTCTGCTATAAGACCAGTCTCTCATTGTAAAAAAATGCCAGAACTAATACCAGTTGCAACAACGTCTGTTGATAACGACCATTCACAACCGTCTACTTCAAGTCGGTCTTTTGACGAGAATGATGACTTTGAGTTTGAAGGAATTGAAAAGGAGCCACATTTGATAACTCAAGGAGACCTAAATGATTTGGTTAGGGATTTAAATTTGTCAAAAAAGCAGTCGGAACTATTAGGATCTCGGCTAAAAGAATGGAATTTGCTACATCATAATACAAAAGTTAGCTATTTTCGAAACCGTGATGAACACTTCAGAACGTATTTTTCTCAGGATGGAGATTTGGTGTTTTGCAATAACATAAATGAGATCATGAAAATGTTGGACATAGATTTTGAAATCTCTCAGTGGCGTTTATTTATTGATTCTTCGAAGGCAAGTCTAAAAGCAGTTTTATTGCATAATGGAAATATGCTTCCGTCTGTTCCTGTGGCCCATGCTTCAAATATGAAAGAAACCTATGAAAATATGAAAGTTTTACTTGAAAAAATAAATTACAGTACATATTCCTTCAAAATCTGCGGTGATCTTAAAGTTGTTGCATTATTACTTGGACTTCAGCTGGGTTATACAAAATTTTGCTGTTTTTTATGTGAATGGGATAGCCGAGACAGAACTAATCACTATATAAAAAAAACATGGCCTATGCGTGCATCGTTAGTTCCTGGCCAAAAAAATGTAAAGTATTTACCCCTTGTAGAGCCAAATAATGTGCTTTTACCACCATTGCATATCAAATTAGGATTAATAAAAAATTTTGTGAAGGGAATGGATCGCAGTGGGAGTGGATTTTTGTACCTAAAAGAAAAATTCCCTAAAATAAGTGATGCAAAAATAAAAGAGGGTATTTTTGTTGGCCCTCAAATCAGGGAGTTAATAAAAGATTCAACATTTGAAGAAAAATTAAGCGGTTTAGAAAAATGTGCATGGAACGCATTTAAAAATGTTGTTGCAAATTTTTTGGGCAACCACAAGAGTGACATCTACAGAGAGTTGGTTAGCGAGCTCTTATTGTCATATCAAGCATTGGGTTGCAACATGTCACTCAAGATCCATTTTTTAGACTCGCACCTGGATTTTTTTCCTGACAATTTAGGGGCTGTCAGTGACGAGCACGGCGAGAGGTTCCACCAGGACATTTCTAGTATGGAAAAGCGGTACCAGGGAAAATGGAGCCCAAATATGTTAGCGGATTACTGCTGGACAATTAAAAGGGACCAACCAGAAGCTAAACATTCAAGAAAATCTTAAATTATTAAGTAACTTATATAAAAAAAAAGTTTGATTTACGAGATCTGTATTTTTTCTTAATATTTTTAATTACTCAATAGAATAAAATCCTTGGCTAGCAAATTTTTTTTAACTGTTTATCTTTTCTTACAATCACCAACTAAAGTAAAAAATATCAAAAAAGTCCGTGTGGCACGAAAAAGTTTGAATTTTGTTGACCAGTGTTATTAATCGGCTTCTACCCAAAATTTAAAAGCACCAGTCTCCATACTAATTTGTCATTGTCTTTTGGCTGCAGTTTCCAGAATTCTGGAACTGGGTAATCATAATCAAGCTAGTATTAAACAAATCAAAAAAGTTATTAACTACTTGTCATATCAACCCTATATGTTTGGACCACTATTAAGATCAGAAACATCCTGTATAATATGATATTGTACAATAACGAGCCTCTAGCTAGAATCAAATCGTTCACCACCCGTGATCCATGAAATCACGAGAAACGTCAGTGAGTTGGCTTTAAGCGCACTGATGCGTTGATGACACATCTCACACTAATATGCGTAGTTCCATCGTCTATGACAGGGTGATCACACAAGTGAAGAAACAAACAAATCAGACGAGTAAATATGTTTACTTATTTTCTTCCGCATGCAATTTGGTACACCAATTTCTCTTGTTTACATTCAAACAAGAGAAATTGCGGAAGTAGGGACGCACTAGCGGAATAGATTAATACATGCTCGAGTTACGTGTCTAATTATGTCGTTGTTATGCGATTAAGTAATATAAAGTATTCTATGATATGACTAGTTTGATTATGGTATTCTATTGAATTACAAACCTTCTTACCTAAATACTTGCGATTATAGATATATATATATATTAATAATTGTGCATTTTTCTATTCTTTGTGATATAAATCCGACACAGTAAATATGTATATGTACATAATTAACAGAGCGATATCTCATAGCAAAAATATTTGTAGGAGAGACTGCTGCTGTCGGTGCTACCAGAACATGTTGCCGTTCAGATGCGGAAAGAACTGGGGCTGATAGACACACAGTTCAAAAAAATTTACATGTCTCGTCATGAAAATGTCAGGTACGCGCAGTTAACGTCAACTACGTAATTTATAAACCAATATAAGTAATATTAACATATTATTTGTTCATCCCCAGTATTTTGTATGCCGACATCGTAGGCTTCACGGCTATTTCTTCAACTTATTCAGCGCAAGATCTGGTCGCAATATTGAATGAGTTGTTTGCTCGTTTTGATCGACTTGCTGAGGTAAAGAAAATTTAATTTATTATTTCGCCTCCAAGTCTCGTCGGCCGTAAATTAATACGCAAGTCTGGGCTTCCGTAATTGTTATTTTTATTTGTAGAAATATCAACAGCTTCGCATTAAAATTCTGGGGGACTGCTATTATTGTATTAGTGGAGCGCCTGTTGAGCGTCCAGACCATGCCGTGCTCTGTGTACACATGGGACTGTCTATGGTTAAAGCTATCAAGTAAGTATGCGCGGGTTACTGTCGTATAACGAATATGATAATGTAACCTAAACTTACGCGATACTTTGTTGGTCAGATATGTCCAGCAGACGACGAACTCCCCAGTGGACATGCGCGTGGGTATCCACACAGGTGCAGTTCTTGCGGGAGTGCTAGGTCAGAGACAGTGGCAATTTGATGTTTACTCTCGAGATGTGGAACTTGCTAATAAGATGGAGAGCAGTGGAATGGCGGGGTTGGTATCTTCGTTTAGAAAATTATTATAGTATTACAGTAGAAGAACATCCAAATAACCTTCAAAGTTTGCTTCAAGACCTGTGATTAAATTGCAACAATAAACATATTTCATTTATTTATTTTCGGTCAGCTATGTCAGCTTCTGTGACACGAACTAGTAAGTTTAGTTTGCTAAACGAACGTTATTTCTACAAAAATGCATAAAAGATAAAACAACATCATTTAAATAAAGTTTATTCATCTGTTCTCAGTTGTTGGTTTTAAAAAATGTATTTATTCGACGACTTTACTAGCTGTTCCTATTTATGTATACGTAGTTACATTCTATTTATAAAAGTTTTGTTTACAGACGCGTACATGTTTCTGAAGTAACTCTGAGTTTTCTCAACAACGAGTTCGAGGTGGAGCCCGCTCACGGAGAACGTCGAGAAGAAATGCTTCGACAGGCTGGCATCAAGACATACTTCATCGTCCGAGTTCTTAAACCAGTAAGTTATTTCTTTATATACAAAAACGTACCAAGTACAGACTCATATGATTTTATGCTGTATTACTTCTGTATATGAGCGATAACCTTATCGTAACTCTTTGTAACCACACCTGGGTACTTGCACCTTGTTCCTTGTATATTTTTGTATGTCATATTTCAGTAGTTTTACGGGGAGACGTAATGTCGACGCGTTTACATCACTGAGAACGTTTCCACATACAATCGTGTAATGAGAAATAAACATTTACGCTAAACGTAGAGTTACGTATTTCTTAGAAACAGTCATAAGCTTTTCAATCCACTTTGCAGTAAGCTCCTGTAGCCAATAATCATCACTGATACATTTCTTTATAAAAATGACTTGAATTGATTTCTCTACGTGTCGAATAAATATATAGACACGGATATAAATATGTTTAAATGTTACTGAAGGTTTTTTAATGTTATTTGTATTGAAATGTATTCTGCGCTTAACAAGTATATGCACGAGTGCAGATCTTTATTAGAAGATGTATGTCAGAACAAGCATGTTTCATGCAGTCAGTAAGTAGATATCTAGTGTGGGGTATATTACCAGACTTGCCATATCTCTAGGTTTCCAGATGAATGATTACGGCTGCTTGCCATGAAAGCCGAGCCTTGCAACAACTTGTAGTGGAATTTATATACCTTTCACACGTTCAGTTATCAAATAAGCACACAATGCGTGTAAATATTTTAACTTGACCTTTGAAGAGCATCTTTTGTAGGTAGGCCTTGGGCTCTCCAGACATTATCTACAACAAGGTCTCGACGTAACTGCTCAGTATTACATCCCGTTTAGCTAATGAGTAGGTACGTAGTGATCAAAGTCGGTGTGCTAGCAACCTGTGACGGTTATGTCTAATCAAGAAAGGTATCTTGTACAGTATGAAAAGATTACAAGATCCAAGATTATTCGGGTTATTATATGTAGGTTAAAATAACACGTAGTACTTAATAATTTTCTAAAAAAGAGGTGCTACTGATTTAAGGGAACCAATGGTAATGATAACGAAGTACAATAATAATGCAATGAAGCGAATAATTACAGACAGATAATAAGTATTTCATATTTCGTATGAAGTTATTTGACATAAATTTGATTATTATTACACATCATGATTCCATTTTTCACCATTCCTTTGTGTTGCTAATAAAATCAGTTAAATTGTAACAGCAACTTTCGTTTTTTGTGTGTGACCATTGTGCTGATCATCCGATAGTTCCTTTTTCTGTTTACAGTTATTGATTTTTTTACAAAACAAACATATTATTTGAAACATTTTCAGTTTGATCGACGTTTGACTCGTTGACTTAAAAATATGGTTACAACAACAAACCAATCGATTTTTAGTCTATAGAGCTATATCTATTTTATAAATACCCTTGTAGTGGATATTAAATGTAATGTAACATTTCAATGTAAATGTTAAACTCATACACTATTTATTACAAATATAAATATTTTTCTCAGTATTTTAATAAATTGTAGGTTATACATATTTCACTTCCGTTCAACTAGGAAATACAGATTGTTATAAAAAAATCAATTCGACCGCCATTTCATTAAAAGCTGCTTTATGTATAGATGACCTCAAAACCCCGACAGCTTGTAAGAAGTATATTAAATATTTACAGGTTAGAAGTAACCGAAAATATAATTTACGCGTCTAAATTTTTAAAATCTTATCTAGTGTTTAGTTAATAGCCAGTGAAAATTATGTTTCCGAAAAATACAGAATACTGAACGTTGAATATGAAGTACACCGTCTTAATAAGTTATTTATGTGGCCAGACTAGTATTGTGAGCACGGGTGTCGGGTACATAAAACCTTATTTAACTTATCTATGTTACATAGAGCGGACGAAACGAATTGGGTCGACAAAGCAGAAAATGCGAACGAAGTGAAATGAAAAATGTAGAATATCTTATTTTTTGCTTAACTTGGCTTTAGTACGTACCTAACCATTAGAAAAGTTGGATGATTATGCTTATATGTTATTTTTATCCTTTTGATTTGGAACTACCACTTACAATGAGATTGAATATTAGCTACTGAGTATACTTATCAATATAACGCATTGCCTTATTTAGCTTAACAATTTATTACATGACCTACTTGCGAACGCCTTAATAAATTAACAAAACTTAGCAGATAATAATATGTACCATTTCGGGACCCATATTGGGAAAACGATGAGATATAAACCTTTCAGCTATTCTGGTGTAACGTGTTTGTGAGTAAGATTCATCGTATCTGTGATTGTGGCATACAGTTTCAAGGAGGCGAGGAGAAGAGTGCAGTGGAGGGCGAGGCCGCGGAGGGTGGCGACGCGGCCGACACGCTCTCCGACCTCCGAGACGATGACGAGGACTCGGTGAGTGCACTACTGCGCTTCCCCGGCCCCCTCGCCGCTCCCTCGCTACCGCCTAAATAAATAGGACACTAGGGCACTAGGCGGCCTCAGCTAGATAGTTCCTAGTTTAGCTAACGTAGGAGGTTAAAATAATCTCGCTCGAATCGATCGTTCATTATATTCCGACAGATTTTGAATATTTATGACAAAAGTACGCCCATCATGACGCTCTCATATTGATTTTTTGCTTGTCAATTACATAGACATGCTTCGTACATTATTCGTAGGTACTGTCGCCACAAGACGAGAGCAAGGACAACGAAGAACAGAAAATACTTAGCATGTTGCAAGAAGAACTGGTGAATAGAGACGACGACAAGTAAGTTCACAGGAATTGCATAATATTACGAGTATTGTTTATGTTGTATTGGTAACGTGAATATTTTTGGTTCTTTGTTTCCCTTGTACCCAGTACTACCTTGTGTTTATCTATCAATAGAACAAGATTAGTTTAAAATAACCCAACTTTTAAAGGTAGCTACTGCTGCATTGTAACTAGAGATGGGATTTTACCCGGAAAAAACCCGAATATGGGAAAAAACCGGGAAAAAACCCGGGGAAAATTCCCAAATGGGAAAATATTCGGGTTTTTTCATATTTAACACATGTAACAAATAAGTAATGTGTAGATTATGTACATATCATATAGTACGTACTATTTAAGAACTATTACTACAAGTTAGAGCTAATCTAACTTTGTTTATGTTCATATTGCAGTAATAACGTTCTTAATATCCTTAGGGACCTACTATCAAATGAAATAAAATGAAATTAAACAAAAATCCTGTCTGTTTGTGTGTGATCCTCCGCTCTTAGCGACAGGTAACCCGAAAATACGTGAGCGGGTAGAGGGGCAGGGAAGCAGGTAGTAGAGGGGCGAGCGCGTTGGTGATCTATCTATCTCACACGTTGTTTCGGCTTCATACTGTGCGCACTCGTGTTAATTTGTTGGTTTAATTGACGACTTGGATTTTGTTTGGTGGACTTTTGGTTACCTAATCCTTTGAATTGACAACAACTGCTACTCTTACGGACTTTGATACCTACTTTTTTTACGAACGAAATTTACCGGTAAATTTACAGTTTTGTAACTTTTGTAAAGTATAATAAATGATTGTTAGTAAGAGTATCTCTCGTTGTTTTAATTATATTATTTTAGTCAAACATTCTTTAAAGTTTAATAGGTATTTTTTCTGCTGTTAACATTCCATCACAGAGCGCAGTAAAAACTTATTATAAAACAAGAAGACGTCTTTATGGTGTTATAATAAATATGCTGGTTATGTTTTAGTCCTTGAAATAGACTACACATTTTAACGTTTCAAATAACAGACAACAGCTAGTGCCTTATACACGCTGGTGCTAAGTACTACTCTGTCAAGAAAGTACCGGGAAAAGATCAATAATACAAAAAATGTCTGTTATTCATCCAAATTTATTTTATCACCTTTAAACTGTCAAACACCGAGCGGTCGGTGTTTGACAGTTTAAACTGTCACCGGTGACCGCAACCTATTGTTCTTTAATTGTCTGTAATGACGGTACTCAACGAGTTAAAGTATGCTCCTTTAGAGACGATACACTTGCGCCAACGAATAATCTATTCATCAAAACATTTTTTAAACGCTGCTTCCAGAATTGAGTTTAGTTCTCGCCGCGAATTCTCCTTTACGTCTTCTATCGATTGAAAACGGGTGCCACGAAGTGGTAATTTGAGTTTAGGAAAAAGAAAAAAGTCAGCAGGAGCCATATCTGGTGAATATGGTGGTTGCTGGATGGTATTTGTTGAGTGTTTGGTCAAAAATTCGTTCACCTTGATGCCACCAATGATAGCCTTGTGCGAAGGCGCTTTCTCGTGGTGCAAAATCCAAGAATTTTCTTTCCACAAATCTGGCCTTTTTCGTAGAATTTGCTCTCTTCAACGCCGCATAAAGCTCAAATAATATTCTTTATTTACCGTTAGACCTTCCGGTAAGAATTCAGAGTGCACAACAGCGCGATAGTCAAAGAAAACAGTCAACATGACTTTGACTTTTGATCGACTTTGGCGTGGTTTTTTCGGTTTCGGTTCAGTTGGAAGGCGCCACTCCGAAGCTTGTTGACTAGTTTGCATGCCAAACTCATAAACCCACGTCTCGTCACCAGTAACAATGCGTTTCATGAATGTTGGGTCCAAACTGACTCGTTCTAGCATATCCTCAGCGACTTTCATGCGATTGAGATTTTGGAGAAAATTTAGATCTTTTGGAACTAGTCGAGCAGCAACATGTTTCATACCCTTTAATGTATAGTATAGATTAGTTAAAATGGTACGGATCGACTCGTGAGATACAGAAAGTTCGGCGGCTATCTCTCTCAGAGTTGAATGGGGATTTTCAGTCACTATTTCCTTCACTTTTGCGATGTTAACTACAGTTGCAGACCAGAGCGAGGCAAATCTTCCATCACATCTCGACCGCTTTTGAACGCTTTGAACCACTCATAAGCACGAGTTTTTGATAAAGTCGATTCACCGTAAGCTTTCTGTAACATTTTTAGTGACTCCGAACACGAAATTCCATTGGCGATGCAAAATTTAAGACAAACTCTTTGATCGATATTTGTGTCCATTATGAAATTCACAATATACATTATATATGATATTTCTGAAACCAGCGCTGTATTTAATATAAATAACAGATGCAACTCAAACTCCGCGCCAAAATGGAAAACAGTTGTGCCAATCTAACAACTACATAAAAACAAAAATTTGAATTTGGAACCATAAACAAATCATCCATTCCCGATACTTTTTTGAGTGAATGTAGGTATATACGCATCACAAAGTACCTATTAATTTAGTTCTGAAAATAAAAATAGAATAAGATCATTATAAATGAAAATACCCGCCTATTGGGTTTTTTCCCACATAAAAACCGGGTTTTTTCCCAAATGGGAAAAAACCTGGGTTTTTTCCCTTTGGGTTTTTTCCCAGTGCCCATCTCTAATTGTAACATACTACATGCTACAGTGCTACATTGTAAAAATACAGAAATAGTTGTTTTGTTTTTGAAGTAGGTGCCAATGCCAAGTGAAACCAAATGCTGTTCATTTCGATTAACTTTACGTTCATTTGCATATTATGGTACTGACTAAAAAGTGTTCTTCATAGCGTGCATTTATTAAATTTTCTGTTATATTTCCGTTTGTGTTGCTTTTCTTTGAGATCACAGAAACTTTTAAAGCCATTCGGTACTGAGCAATTGCTATTATGTTCTGTTGTAATTTCATTTTGGTTTTATCATCTAATCTGCCTGCCAGTAAATGTGTAAGTTAAATTTAATTTATTTGTTTACATGTTCTTTGTGAAATAGCGAATCATAATGTTTGTTTCTTTTAACTCGTTCGTTGGAATGTGAAGGGCAAAGCCATCTCGAGTATAATTGATAGCATCGTTTAAATGGTCAACTCTGTTTCGCATGTTCGATTTTCTAGTAATTCAGTTCTATTTCATGTAGAACCCGTGTTTACACTCACCCGTGGGCTGTTCGCAAATTGTTCGCGAAGGGCCATACGATTAGTCTCTTCTCTGGTCATTCTGTCGTTCAATATGTTTGTCTACGAAGTATTTGTATCGTAGCATGTTGCATTTTAGGAATATAAAAAATTCCTTTACTCGCTATTCATATAATCAGAACCTTTTAAAATCGAAACAAGTTCTTTAGTTATTTTATTTATAAGGGATCAATAAACAATTTGACACATATTGCTTCTTATAATATAGTAAAATTGCTTAAAAATATAAATAAATTAAATTAGAGTAATATCTAAATAGCCTGTTTGAGTAGAAACTACAAATTGTTTGATGACTAACGTCTGCACATATAAATTTAAATTTTCTCTGTATCATTTATTTATCAATATGAATTCAGTATATCGAAGCCCGAAGGAAAAATTTAAATAAAACTACTAGAAAAGATCTAATGATGTGCATTTTCACAGCTTTAGGTACCTATATAATATGCTACCTGAGTGTTACGCGAATGAAGATCGATCTGCTCGGATACAGCAGTAACGTATATCGCAAATAGTTACAATATGCTATTTTAGGCGCATTTGATGGAACCATGTCAATAAACACATTTAGGTGCCATTCCAACGCTCAGTGTATGCATGCACATCATTTTCTTTACAATTGCAAACATTAACAGCGTTACAAATTCTTCTTTATACAAAAAAAGACAGTGCAGTCCACATAATCATCATCAAATCAAACATCTACTTGCATATCCTAGTGTATATTTAATCAATATCGTAGATAAAATATATGGAATGGGTAAAATACTAGCATGTGGTATCAGGGAACTAGCAGATGGGACGACATTGTGCCTGACGTTCAAAGCCTCGGGCGCGGAGGATGTGTACGCACGGCGTACGGACCCCTGCCCGCTGGCGATCGCCGCGCCGCCGCTGATGCTGCTGCCTGCCGTGGTTGCGCTCGCCAGCTTTGCGGTGCCCCCGACCTGGTCACTGCACGCCGTCTACCTCGCCCTCGTGCTAGAAACCGGCCTAATCAATGTGGTTTATTACACGTGCTACCGATACTCCCAGTATAAGGTCAGCACAATTATTTATTTTTGGGTATGTCACTCGTATCGAGATTGATGTCAATATCCATTTTAATTGTTATAAATGTTTCAGAAAAAGACAGTGAGTCCCTATTGGAAGCTGACTTGCGGAACGTTCAACATCGCGATGTTCGTGGCCGCGAACATTGCGCCATTGGTGAGTGCGGCGTAATACTCTCGGCGAGCGCTATCTTCACTGTCGCCACCACGCGCCACTCTCACTATCACGCTTGTGTTTCTACTTCCACCGCGGCCGCGGTTCTGTCGCGACTCGCGAGTCACGACTACTATCGCTATCGTTACAACTGTCACTATCACCGCGCACTGGGAACTCGTTGAACTTTACGCACATCATTATAAAATTAACATATTTACATATTTGCCGCGCTTTCATTCAAAGGCTATTGTGGAGAACACTATTATGTAGTAGTGAAACTGGTATGGTTCTACGAGTACGCAGGTTATATGTGTCCTAATACACATCTATTGAATATTACTTTCTGTTGCTTTCTAAGAATGCATAAAAGTTTTTTTATGTTTGTTCAGATAATTTGCGGCAATTTCGAGACGATGCTTCTTGAGGACGGGCTTCGAGACGATGCGCCAGCGCACAGCGGCGCAAGGCGCTGCATACATCCTTCTTATTACTACCATGTGAAGTACCTTTTCTACTTTCACTTTTTGATGTCTGATAAATATTACGAATGGACACTTCTTATTCTGAACAGTTTTAAGAAATTAACAGAAACATGTGAAAATGGGCACTGGACTAGACTCTTACATCATTATTTTATCAGTATTCAAACGTTGTAGCAATCAACGCATAATATTTCATTTTGCGAATATTGTAAGATTCAAAATATTTTATTTCGTTGTACCTAAACGCTATATTTCATTATGTACCGTGCAGGAATTGAGTTTCGGTTGTATGTTAATATTATTATTATTATTATAAGGTATTCCCTTTTTCTCGAAATTACAAATTTCGGTAATAATATGAAGTTCACGGGCCTAAACCAAGTGAAAATCATGGGGTACTTGTTCGGTGGTCTCTTCTTGCAAAAACTTCCTCACAATACGACAGGTGTTCAGAATTGCGGCTTTCTGCATGGTTGTGTATGTGTTTTTATGGAGGTCTAGGAGTTGGATACCGTGATGTAAGTTTTTAGGGATGACTCCCGTACTGGAGAGCACCAACGGCACAATATATACTTTATTCATTTTCCAGATTCTAAGTATTTCTTCTTTAAGCTCTGTATATTTGTGTATCTTCTCCGTTATTGTTTTCTGTAGATTGTGGGTATTTGGGATGGCTATGTCGGTAATATATACTATTTTGTTAACTTTATCAATTAAGGTAATATCTGGTCTGTTATTGTGTACAGTTTTATCAGTTAAAATAGCTCTATCAAAGTATAGTGTGTGATTTGGACTCTCCAGTACAGGTTTTGGTGTATATTGGTAGTATGGTACGGCAGGCTCTGTCAAAAGTTTGTGTTTGATGGCAAGTTGTTGATGGATGATGTGTGCGACTTGATTATGTCGATGTGTGTAATCTGTTTGGGTGAG